ATAAACAAAACAAACAAACAAATAAAATAAATAAATAAAGCATGCCTCTATTTAAAAAAAATCAATAACAGTACAAAACACAACAAAGCAAAATGGACAATTATAAATCAGAGACAATGCAGGAAAGGAGGAGGGAGAGGGATCAGAGGGAGGGAGGGTGGAGCACAGGGGACTGAGGTGATGGTGCACAGGTACATTGGTGAAGGAAACTTTATGGGACCACACCTGCGGAGGTGGGGGGAAGCAAATATTGTTTAAAAATGAACAATGATATAAAAAATTTTAAAAATTAATATAAAAAATAAATAAAAATAAAAAAGCAAAAAAAAAAGAGAAAGAATTTCCACATGTAATATGTAGATCTCAATTAAGTCTTGATTCAAACAAACTAACTGTAAGAAGATATTCCTTTTTTTCCCCCACCCCAGATATTCTTTAGATAATCAGGAAAATTTAGATATGGACCATACTGTACTTAAATCCTTAAATTAAGAAATTAAGAACCTCCCTGGTAGTGCAGGGGCTAAAGTGTCAGTGCTATCAAGCTACTGCCAGCCACTGCAACATGAGTTCAATCCCCAGTCAGGGAGTTGACCCACATGGCGCAGCAGACCTCTCCTGTCTCACCCGCTGCTCCTTAGCAGTGTATTTTAGTAGATCCACTTGTTCTGCTCCCTACTCTGTCTCTAATGAATCCTATTTTCCTTTTCTTATTCCCTATAATTCACATTTTCTTTCTTCCCTTTTTTTCTCCCAGTGTTGCTTTAACCTTTATCAAACAATCACTTTGGGGGGTAGGAAAATGCCAAGTAAAACTTCCAGCAAACTTTGCTCTTCTCACATCTTTTGGATTTTCAGAAAATATCACCACTTCAGTGGTTTCCTGGGTCTTTTGCTTTGCTTTTTTTTTTTTTTGTACCATCAAAAGAAGTTGATTTGCACACTTTTAAGAAAAAGTGAAGAAGAAATATAATACTTGCTTTTGTGGATCAAGCAAGAGCTCTCATACATACCCCCAAATATGATCTATCCTAGAGAAATCTCATCTTGACAAATTGGGACCTGAAGCACCAAGCTGCCAGGGAAAAAGCTTAAATAGTAGGGTAACAGCCCCTGTGATTAGGTTTAGAGGGAGTTAAAATCCCCCAGAGCGTTAGCAACTAAAAACCCAGGGAACTAATTCCAGGTTAACACAAGAACCTTATAAAAAGGACAAGGAGCTAGAACTGGTGCTCTGGGTTCTGCTCCTGATTTAGGAAACAGAGCAAGTATCTTCTGTCTCCTGGATTTTCATTTTCCTGCCTGTTGTAGAAGAGAAAGAATCTCTCTGTTTCCTTCAAGTGTTAATACCAACTTCCCATGTTTAAGTACAGCAGAAATGTCCCCTGCAGGCAAATTCTGACCCTGAGAGGACACAAGTTCTATAACTATGTCTAAATCTGGGTCAATCCGTCAATATCTTTAACTGAATAGAAAATTTTTAACTTTCTGTTAAGAACAGCTTTCACTTACTGAATAACCATTGGGTCAACATGGATATCAGAAAGTATCTTGATACCAATGAAATCCAGGACCAGATAGCTTCAACTGATAAATTCTACCAAACCTTCAGAGAAGAATTAATGCCAATCATTCTCAAACTCTTCCATTAAAAAAAGAGAATCAATTCATTTTATCAAGACAGCATTACCCTGATATCAAAACCAGATAAGAAAAAAATTACAATACAATATGAACATAGAGGGAAACATCCCCAATAAAATATAAGCAAACCAGTTTCAATAGCACATCAAAGCGTTCAAACACCAGGATCAAATGAGAGTTATTCCAGGTACAAGAATGGTTCAACATCTACAAGTCAATCAATGTGATACACCACATTAACAAAATGAACAAAAATCATATGAGCATTTCAGTAGATGCAGAAAAAGCATTTGACAAAATTCAACATCCATTTATGATAAAAATCCCAAACAAAGTGGTTATCAAGGAAAATATCTCAATATAATAAAGGTCATATATTACAAACCCACAGCTAACATTATACTCAATAGTAAAAAACTGAAAATTTTTCCTTTAAAATCAGAAATAATACAAGGATGCTCATTGCCACCATTTTCACCAAATATAGTATTGGAAGTCCTAGTCAGAGAAATCAGGCAAGAAAAAGAAATAAAGTCATCCAAACTGGAGAGGAAAAAGTAGCAGTCACTATTTAAAGACAACGTACTATATGCAGAAAACCCTGAAGATGCCATAAAAAAAAAACTGTTAGAACTAATAAGTTCAGTAAAGTTGCAGGATACAAAATCGATATACAAAATGATAAACTATGAGGAAAAGAATTTTAAAAACAATTCCAATTGCATAAAAAATTCTAAAATAGGGCCTCCCTGGTGGCGCAGCAGTTGAGCGCTGGGCTGCAAAGCTGCCCGCAGCCTCTGAAGCTCCAGTTCAATCCCCGGCTGCTGGCGAGGGTCCCACATGGCACACAGACCTCTCCTGCCATGCCCGCTGCTCCCTTCAGCAGTGTACTTCATCAGTCTGCCTGTTCTGCTCCCCGCTCTGGCTCTGGTGAATTCTCTCACCCTCCTGAGCTTCTGACTGTACCCAGTGCTTGTATAAATAAACAAACAAACAAATAAATAAACAAATAAATAAATAAATAAATAAATAAATAAATAAATAAATCGATCTTTTTTTAAAAAGTCTAAAATAGTATGAATAAATTTAATGAAGTAGGTGAAAGACCTGAACAATGAATAACTATAAGACATAATGAAAGACAAAGTAAAATTGAAGAAGACAGAAAGAAATGAAAAGATATTCCAAGTTTATAGCTTGGAAGAACTAACATTGTTAAAATGATAATTTTACCTCAAGTGATATATAGATTCAGTGCAATCCCTATCAATGACATTTATCATAGAAATAAAACAAACAATCCCAAAATGTGTATGGAACCACAGAAGACCCCAAATAGCCTAAACAATCTTGACAAAGAAGAACATAGCAGGAGGCCTCATGCTTTCTGATTTCAAATCATATTACAAAGAAATAGCAATCAAAACAGATTGGTGTTTTCATGAAAGTAGATCAATGGGACAGAAAAGAGACCCCAGAAATAAGCCCAGGTACATATGGCCAATTACTTTACAAGAAAGGAGCCAAAAAGATATAAAGAGGAGAGGAGTTTCTTCAATAAATGGTGTTGAGAAAACTCAGCTCTCACCTGCAAAAAATGAAACTGAACCACCATCCACAAATATTAGTGGATTAAAGACAGAACATAAGACCTGTAACCATAAAACTCCTAGAATAAAACACAGGTGGAAAACTCCTTAGCATTGGTTTTGGCTATGATTTTTTCTTGTATCTCACTCAAAAAGCAAAAATAAACAAATGAGACTACATCAAACTAAAAAGCTCTAAACAACAAAGGAAATTACTATAAAAATGAAACGTTCCTACCAAGTGGGAGAAAATATTTGTAAATCATATATCTAGAAGGGATTAATATTCAAAAGAACTCTTATAACTAAATAGCAAAAAACAGACAGAACATCTGATTTGACCTTTTTCCAAAGGAGACACCAGGTGGCCAACAGGTACATGAAGAGTTGCTCAACATCACTAATCACCAGGGAAATGCAAATCAAAACCACCATGAGATATCACCTCACAACTGCTAGAATGGCTATTATCCAAAGGATAAGAAACAACAAATGTTTGCAAGGATGTGGAAAAAGGGAAACCCTTGTGCACTAATGGTGGGAATGTGAGTTGGGACAGCCACTATGGAGACTAGTATAGTGATTCCTCAATAAATGAAAACAGAACTCCCATCTGGCCAGCAATTCCACTTCTGATTGTTCATTTATTTATTTTAAAAGATTTATTTTATTTATGTATGCATACAAGAACTGGGGTGTAGGCCAGAGGTGTGGAGCATGAGAAGATTCACCAGAGACAGAGTCAGGAGCAGAACAGGCAGATCTACTGAAATACTCTGCTGAGAGGAGCAGTGTGCCAGACAGGAGAGGTCTGCTGTCCCATGTGGGTCAGCTCCCTGGCTGGGGATCGAACTCATGCTGCAGTGGCTGGTGATAGCTTGATACCACTGAGGCTTTCACCCCTGTACCACCAGGGAGGCCCCCACTTCTGATTATTTATTTGACAAAAACTAAAACACGAATTCAAAAATACATCTACAACCCCATGTTCACTGTAGCAATATGTGTAATAACCAAGATATGGAAGAAATTAAAATGTCCCATGATGGGTGAATGGATAAGAGAATGTGGTGTGTGTATGTGTGTGTACAATGGAATATTATTCAGTGATAAAACAGAAGAAAATCCTGCCATTTGAGACATTAAAGGATGAACCTTGAAGCATTATGTTAAGGGAAGTAAGCAGACAGGTGAAGCCAAATACCATGTAATAGCAATCACATGTGGAATCTAAAAACAAGAAAGCTCATAGATACAGACACTGGAGGTTGTCAGATGCAGAAGGTAGGAGAGAGCTGAAATGGGAGAAAGGGGTCAAAAGGTACAAACTACCACTTATAAAATAAGTCATGGAGGTGAAATGCACAACATGGTGACTATATTTAATGATATTTTAATGCACATTTGAAAGTTTCCAAGAGTAGATCTTAAAAATTCGCATCACAGAAAAAGAAAAATTTGTGTCTATCTATAGTGATGGATGTTATCTAGATTTATTGTAGTAATTTCCAAATGTCTAATTATTTTACTGTACACCTGAAACTAATACATTGTTATGTATCAATGATGCCTCAGTTTAAAAAAATAAAACAGCTTTCCCTGAACCACCATGAACTTGTTTATGTTTTTAGCCTTCCCCATGGGAAGCAAGAAGGCCTAAGGACCCAGTTAGTAACATATACTACTGTCTCTTTGGCAGGCAGCATATGCAAAGGTGCAATAGTGGGCAGGTTTGGAGTTAGCCAGTGCCCAGGGCCTTGGACTCACCGAGATCTTGGTGAGAATGTACAGCAACAAGGAGAGAACGGAGAGATAGCACTGGATCCGCTTGCCTCCAAATCGCTTCCGTAGGTACTCAGGCATTGTCACCACCTGCATTGGATGCAAGGGAGGTTATCACCTGCAAGAGTGACCAGAAGGTCCAGAGCAAGCAGAGCAGGGGCAGCGCCTCCCTTGTGTCAGGGGTAGGAACAAGGGTTAACCCAGGTTGGCCTTAGAAGTCTGCAAGGTAGCCATATGTTCCCCCATCCTTCAGCCATTTGCTTAGCTCAATCCCTCATGCCCTACCACCACAGAGTTAGAGAGAATCCCAGGACTCAGAAGGTACCTATAAAGACTTTTAAAAGAATGCATGACTGTATGGAACCATGAAGGTTTGCCCCTTTAACGCCTATATAACCCTTTAATTTCTATACAAAGCCCCTTCTATGAAGAAGACATCATCAAAATGGTGCGTCTTTTCAGAGCACAAATCAAGATGGCCAGGCTGGATGTGTGCTTCAACCTGCTCCATGCCCAGGCCTCGCGAAGAATTGTGGTTTCAGGCCTGCTGAGCTGTTGTCCCAGTTCCTTTCTGCAAATTTCAACCACATTTCTCCTACCCTCACCCCCGAGCCTGCTGATTCCTGGGGTCAGATACGTGTCACCAATAGTCTGTGAACCTCCAGAAAATGCATTTTTCCCCATGTTTCTTCCATATTGCTTTCAGCAACTAATGGGTAGATTTACATGTGGTAGGTGCTCATTATATTTCACTGAACAAATGATACGAAAGCTGTTTTAAGTAAAATGTCAGAGATTCAGTCCAGAAACCAAGCATGCATCTCATAGTGGAATACCAGCTTTATGCTCAGCAACAATAGCTATTTGTGTATGTAAATAAAGGGAAAATATAATTCTTTTTCTCATGCTTTTTCCCTTCCAGAGGCAGAGACAATTAGGTATAGATGATGAATAAATACATGGCATGTCCTTGCATGAACACACCCAAGTAAGGGGACTTGATGCTTCAGAGGGCAGTGAAGAGAGTGAGGTCACTTAGGAGGGCTTCCCAGAGGCACAAGTTATGACTGAGTGGATCTGTTTAATGCCCCAGAGAGCAGTCAGGAACTTTATAACCTGGAACAGGAAGTCAAGACACAGACTTTCTCTGCTATTTGTGCCAAAATGTCTCCTCTGCTTTCCAGGATTAAGTTTACATTTATATCTGCCATCAGGAAATGAAATAAGAGCAGCTACTTACCCCAGCCTTAATGTAAATAGGAACAAATAACCAACCAAGCACAACCACCATAATCAGGGCCTGAAACCAAAGAAAAGATAGAATCAAATTAGGAAGAAACTTAGCCCACTCTACTACCTATAGGACCCAGCACTACAAAACAATCACCTAGACTTTTATCTTTGGGCTCTGAGGACTTCTCGCTTGTGGCCCTCAGAGACTGGATGAGGCTATTGCTGCTTTGGCCCAAAGGAACAGCAGTTGGGCAGCAGTGAAAGGAAGCCCAGGCTGCCCACTGACATTATAGCTCCTTTTGCCTCTTCCCTGATTTATGAGGAGTAAAATACCATTTAGACACCTTTTGTTAAACAATAACAATTGAAATCTGGTGGTAAGCATTTTCAAATCTCCAACTGGCTAAACGGGTACAGAGAACTTTTTTTTTTTTCTCATTTAAACAGGTACAGAGAACTTATTTTTTTAAGATCAGAAGTAAACACTATTGCCATTATATCCGTGGTTTTCTTCTGTTATTCTCATGAAAAGGGAGCAGAGCCTGGGGCTCCTGAAGGAGTCTCCATCCTCTATCTTCATCTCAGGGTGGTCCTGAGAGGTTCCCTAACACTTGGAGCATCTCTGAGCATAGATTGAACTGACTGATGCTAAGGTTCCTTCCAGCTCCATGACTCAGTGTCTCTGATGTTACTCACGTTCCATTCAAACCCCCCAGTGGCGATGCCTGCAGCTGCTCCAGTCCCTGCCAGTCCCACAAAGTGGCCACTTCCGATGTTACTGGCAAAGAGGGAGGCTCCAATCTGGAAAAGATAAAGTCAGATGATAGAATACTACTCAGCTATAAAAAAGATGAACGCTTGCCATTTGAGACAACGTGGATGGAAATGGATTGGTATTATACTAAGCAAATTATTTTAGGAGAAAGACACATATCAGATAATTTCACTCATAAGTGAATATAGAGAAACAAAACAAAGGAACTGATAAAACAAACCCTAGAGATATGACTGCAGAAATGAGGCTACTAGAGGGAAAGGGAGGATGGGGATCAGAACAAAGGGGGGAGTGGCCTGAAGGTGTATGGTAAAGGACTGTGGGTGTGGTGGTGGTGAGTGTTTGTTTGTTTTTTTAAAGATTAAAGTCAGATGAGGATTCTGCACTTCATCAGGACACTCAGGGTGGGTCAAAGAAAGGAGAGACAGGTCAGCCAAGAGTATGACAAAAAAGAGCAAGCTGGGAACTTGACTGCTGGAGTCTATCAAGAGCACAGATTCAGAAGTAGGAACTTGGTAAGAGTGAACATGAAAAGGAGAGCATGGGAAGGGGTGCTGGGACAAATCTGCAAATCAGGTTATGTATGAGTCCTTTGTGAGCCCAATGCCCAATAGTGATGAAGACCTGAGAAGCCCCACAGCTCTCAGTCCTTCTTCAGAGGCCTCTCAAGAGCTTATCGGCTCAAGAGCAAGGTCTGGAACATCCATCTCTGTGTCCTCCAGCACTCCAGGCTTAGGACCTTGACCAATGCAGGTTCTCAGTAAGTGTGGACAGATGTGTTGAAAGCAATCACTTAAAAGGAAGCTTCTGGATCTCAGTTCCCACACTTGCAAAGGAGGCAGAGGTGGAGCTGATGATTTCCAAGTAACTCCTAGTTATTAAATTTTATGATTCCATGTGCTCCCAAGTAACAAGAAATACTATTAATTAATAAATCATAACTCTATTAATCAACATGGTATTTTTATTTTTTTTACAAAGGTCTTAGAGACCCCATAGACACATGCAAAAAACACTAATATTTCAAGGATATACATATGCCTAACTACAGGTTGAAAAGACATCTATTAAATGCCCAAGAGCGGAAATCTGGGAGGGGAAAGGCAAATGGGAATGTGGATGAGAGGTGAAGGGGAAAATAACAGGAGAAATAAGAGAGGGATCTTTCACTAACCAATCATGATATTCTCCCATCAACTCAATTGCATCTGAAGTCCAAGAGCACTCCAGAAAGTTCTAGAGTCCTATACCCAGGAGAAGAAGGCATAGCAGCATTTGATAAGTACCAAACTAGTATAATTAATTCTCTCCATTATTGCTGAGCAGATAAGAGGAAGTTTGTTGTTATTTGTCTAATGTCTCTAAGGTGGTCCAAATCTGGAACAAAACACATATTTCCCCAAAAACAAACTACTCCAAGAAATTGTCATAATTATGTCAGTTCCCACTCCTGAGAAGTCCGAGGGGAGATTCCTGAAGGCCAGAAAGAGGTCTTCAGAATGATGAGGTGTCAATGGTATAAGTGCACACTTTCATTTGCTCAACAAATATTAACTTAGCATCTACTCACTGTGTCAAGCACTATTCTATATACGAGGGATTCCACTGTGAATAGCACAGGCAAAAGCCCTACTCCCCAAGAAGTTTATATTCTAACTGAGGAAAGCAGATATACCTGAGAGAGACAGACAGAGATAGAGATAGAGACAGAGACAGCGAGAATAGAGTGTTAAGTACTGCAAAGAGAATAGAACAACTACTTTAGATTGGAGAGTCAAGGAAGGTCCTTCTGTGGGTATAACCACTAATTTGAGACCAGAATGAGAAAAGAAACCCACCATGCTGAAATCAAATGGAAAGCCTTTCAGCAAAGCAATATCCTTCACATGAGAAGGTCATCATGGATGATAAAAAGCAGGAAAATGGCCAGAGTTCTGGCTAGAGTGTCGTGGGCAAAGAGGAAGGTGGTGTAAGATGAGGCCAGAAAGTTGGGAGGAGGTACATCCTGTAGATTCTAGCAAGACCAGATAGGAAATGTGGATTTTCTCTGGTGTTGGTACACTACTGAAGGGTTTCAAAAAGGGGAAGGACAGGATCTAGTTTGCTTCCAAAGATTGCTCTCAAGTGTGTGGTGAGTGCAGTTTGGGGGGACAAAGGAGAAAAAAGAGAAACCGCGTGGGTGCATCCAGGTAAGACAGAACAACAGTTTGGTCTCAAGTGGCAACAGTTAAGACAACGATAATCATAGAGATTGGGGAATACTACAGAAACAAAGCTGATGGGCCTTGTTGATGGGTCAGATGTGGGCAATGAGGGAAAGAGTAATGAAGAGTAAGTCCTAGATTTAGGACTTGAGTAGCTGGGTGAACTGTCATTCATTAAGAAGGAGAAATGAAATACTTTGATTAATCTTTAGTTCTCTGTATTTCAAAGGATGTTGTGCAGCACAGCACACTTGCCTTTGTTAGAAGTATAGGACCCATTAAACTCTGCCTAAAGAAATGAATTGCCCCTGCCTCTGACTCTCTGTGGAATTCCCAAGGCTTGAAAGCTCTATTGATCCAGACTGTCTCATTCTCATGGTAGCATAAACATGAAAATACTTTGTGAGTTAAAAGAAAAAAAGGAGGAGGAAAAGAGGGACATTCCGGAGGAGGAGGTGGAAGAGTAAGAGAAAGGCAGGTATTTGGAGAAACCCACTTCCTTCTCCTCAAAGCTAGGTGGGCCTAACAGTCCAATTTTAATCAAAATTCCCTTTTGTATGTGGCCTACCTGTCCTGACCCATTATCTTTCCATTTATATCTTTCTCTTCATCAATTATTAAGCCTAATGTTGTACTATTACCGGCATAATTATCAGTAATGATTAATTGCATTAGATTATTCTTAAGTTCAAGAAGTTCTCTCCAACATCTCTCCCTAAGGGGGACATTGGACTTAAAGCAGTCTCGCACTGTCTCAAGTTCCTGCCTCGCCTTCTGAGAAGGGATAAAACGGGGTCCAGGAAAGTTTTGAGGATACGAGAATTTCTGGGCCCAAGTTCTGCTCATTCTGTCAAGGGTACTAATATTTTTCCCAGTCGCTCACCTTGGCCTCATCCTGAACTCCCTCCCTTTGCCCCATGACCTGCTCTCATTTACCAAAACCCTGACTCTGCCTTCATAGCATCATGGGTATCTCATACTTTTTATATCACCCTGATGTAGGCTGTCTTTTTCTCGCAGCACCACCATAGCAACAGGCTTCTAATGATCTCCAGTCACTCTCCAGCCAGGTGGACAGTTACCTATCTAAAGCACAACCCTGATCACATCATATCACTTCCTTATTCAAGGACCCTCCAGGGTTTAAAGGTGTAGTCCTAGGAATTTAGCAAGATTCTCAGTTAAATTCCCTCTATTGAGAAAATAACAAGAGTTTAAAAATTAAGAGTTTGAGGGGAGGGAAGAGCACAAGGGACTGTGGTGATGGATCATGGATGCAATGGCTGTGGGAGCACTATCGGGACTACACCTGAGGGGAGAAACAAAATACTATCCAAAAATCAACAAAGATGTAAGAAAACAAATTAATTAAATTAAGAGTTGGAATGCTTTCCTAACCTCTCATTATCTGGGCGATCCTGATTCTAAGATCTACAAGTTTCAATTTTCTCTTGTGACAGGGTTTTGCAGAAATCAAATGAGATTATGGGTCAGTAATGATTGGCAATCAGCTGGCCCTCAGAGCCCTTTTTCACCCTTTCTTTCTTCCAAGAGGACACCATTGAAGACAATTCACAAGAGCTATGTTGGTCACTGAATTGTGTCTCCTCATCCCCCAAATTTTATATGCTGATTGTATTTGGAGAACAGATACCTTTAGGGAGGTAATTAAGGGTAAATGAGGTCATAGGGATGGTGCCCTAATCTTTTAGTACTGGTCCTTACAAGAAAATACACTCTTTATCTCTCTTTCTCTCTCACTCTCCCCAACCTCCGCACCCCTTCCCCACATCCCCAAGCACGCAGAGAAGAGGCCAAGTGTCTACACAGTGAAAAGGCAACCATCCACAAACCAGGTAGAAAAGTCTCACTGGAAAAGAACCCTGACACCTTGATCATGGGTTTCCAACCTCTAGAACTGTGAGAAATTAAATCTCTGTTGTTTAACTCCCGAGTCTGAGGTGTTTGTGATGGCAGCCCAAGTGGACTCATAACAGACACTGGTGCATTATTCCCTCCACTCCCTGCCAGGCCTGCACACCACACTTGCTCTCACGAGCTCACTAGCAATGCTTTCATTACTCTGCTTCCCCAAACACTCCGTCAGCCTACTCCTCCCCCACCTTCACACATACATTCATCTGGGAATCATGCCCCATGTGGGGAGTGACCCAGTGACACAAATTAGCATGTCCTTCCCTGTCATTTCCCCCCAAGTTCCTTCAGTGTTCAGAATTTTAGACCTCATCTAAAATTTCCCCAGTTTTATCTTGCTTCCTGGTAATTTCTTTCCAAGTCATTCTCATCCCCTGATGAGGGGGTTCAAACTTACTTAGATGGTTTCACTGTGACTGTGCAAGATGAGCTTGGTCTGACCAAGACCTACAGTTTTGATAGCAAGGTAATTAAGGAATAACATGTTGTACCACAAAAGACAAAAAGACTGTTTTCCTTTGACTTTAGGGTATTCACAATCACATTTTATTGCCTAATTTCCTATCCTAGAATGTTGACAGGAGGAGAAATACATGGAGAATTTATAGAATCTGCCAGAGATATTCGGACCCACTGATGTCTCAGCTGAATGCCCTCCGTAACAACTCACAAGAGAAGGCCAGCTTCTGGATACATGGGAAGATCTAGAGACCTTCCCACCTCACAGACACATAAATTCATAATGGAATTACGCTAATGATGAAAAAGTCCTTCTTTAACTTGAGCTGAAATATCCCCATTGACCCTACTTCTGGCCTCTGGAACGATACAGAAAAAGCCAAGTCTCTCCCCCAACAGTTAGTCTCCCAGTCTAAAGACAAGAATTA